AAAAATTCATAACTTCTTCATCCGATGCCCGTTTTCGTCTGTCTTTATACCGTTATACTACTATTGTCGAGACCTTCAATTCTTGTTTAGGTTGCGTCGGCCAAAAATCGCTCGATCTTTATTTCGAGTTTTTTAGCTGTCTACTGCTGTTCTGAAAATTAGATAAATCATAACTTCTTCATACGAAGTCAGATTTGAACGTTCTTTTTATGTACGCTCACGGTTTGTTATTATCTACGACTTTCGTTTAGATAATTAAGGCTAAAAAGTATTTTATTGAAATTTCACTTTTTACGCTTAACAGTGTTTTACCGGTTTTGTCGCGGATCTTTGATTGGTCATAACTTCTTCGTTATAACTCGAATTTGAGTGTTCTTTATATTTCTGAAAACCTGGACACGATATCTAACATTTTATGTATCCCAATTGAGACTTTTGAACATTTCATTTTTTGACGCTATTTTTATTGATTCCACAAATAGAATATGATATTTGAGTTTTTGAACATTACATTGAATTGGAATATCGGGTTGCCACATCATCCCCCCGTTAGAGGGAATTTCGTCCCGAAATTAATTCTACATTAAATATTTATGGACTAGGAAAAAGATGTGGGTATTTTTGTTTCATTTGATCTTCGCGCTCCCAGGTGTATTCAGGTCCTCGCTTGGCATTCCAACGGACCTTCACAACGGGTATGCGACTTTGTTTTGTTCTTTTAATTTCCCGATCCATGATTTCTATTGGCTCTTCTACGAAGTGGAGACTCTCGTTGATTTCAATTTTGTCCAGAGGGATGACGAGGGTCTCATCGGACAGGCATTTCTTTAGGTTTGACACGTGAAAGGTATGGTGTACGTTATTGAGTTCCTGCGGTAATCGAAGTTTCTATGCTACCGGGCCAATCCTGGCAAGGATCTCGAAGGGTCCGATATACCTTGGGTTTAGTTTCCCACGTTTTCCAAAACGTATTAATCCCTTCCAGGGGGAGAGTTTCAATAGTACTCGGTCCCCAACCTGAAATTCCAAGGGTTTCCGTCTTTTGTCCGCATAACTCTTTTGTCTGTCCCTTGAAGCTTTTAATCGTTCTCGGATTTGGACAATCTTCTCGGTAGTTTCTCTTATGATTTCCGGGCCAGTGAGAGTGCTGTTAGGTACTTGTCCTCTAGCTAGTTGCGTGTCACCCACTTCAGCCCAAAACAGAGGTGATCTGCACTTACGACCATAGAGGGCTTCGAATGGAGCAACCTTGATGCTAGTGTGATAGTTATTGTTGTACGAGAACTCAACCAATGGTAAATGGGTATCCCAAGCCTTACCAAAATCGATCACACAAGCTCTTAGCATATCTTCTAAGGTTTGAATGGTCCTCTCACTCTGTCCGTCGGTTTGTGGGTGGTAGGCGGTACTCATGTCCAGTCTCGTTCCTAGAGATTTTTGTAGTGACTGCCAGAACCGCGAGGTGAATCTACTATCTCGGTCCGAGATAATGGATATTGGTACACCATGCAGTCGTATAATCTCCCTGATGTATGTTCTAGTTAGTTTCTCCAGCTTGTCCGTTTCCTTTATTGGTAGGAAGTGTGCAGATTTGGTTAACCTGTCGACGATCACCCAAATGGTGTCAAGTCCACTCGTTGTCTTGGGTAATTTGGTTATGAAATCCATGGTTATCCGCTCCCACTTCCACTCGGGTATTTCCGGTTGTTGTAACAATCCCGAGGGCTTTTGGTACTCTACCTTGACTTTGGCGCAAGTCAGACATTTGCCTACATAGGTAGCGATTTCGACTTTCATGTTTGGCCACCAATATAGTTTCTTGAGATCCAGATACATATTGTTTGAACCGGGATGTACGGAGTATCGAGTCTTATGGGCCTCATTCATGACAACGTCTCTGAATCCGCCAAACTTCGGCGTCCAGATCCGATTCATGAGGTAACGAACTTCGTCATCCTTGACTTCAAGATTCTTATCCATTCCTCTTAAGGCTTCACTCGCCACATTTTCTGGTTTTAAAGCTTCTATCTAAGCTTCCTTGATTTGTGTGGATAGGTGTGAATGGATCGTCATGGTTAAGGATTTCACTCGGCGGCCCGAGTATTCCTTTCGGCTGAGGGCATCAGCTACTACATTAGCTTTTCCGGGATGATAACGAATTTCGCATTCGTAATCGTTTAGTAGTTCCACCCATCGTCTTTGCCTCATGTTGAGTTCCTTTTGATTGAGGATGTGCTGAAGGCTCTTATGATCGATGAAGATTGTACATTTCATGCCGTAGAGATAGTGTCTCCAGATCTTTAGAGTGAAAACGACTGCTCCCAGTTCGAGATCGTGCGTAGTGTAGTTGACCTCGTGCGTCTTGAGCTGTCTCGAGGCGTATGTGATGACCTTCCCTCGTTGCATTAGGACACATCCAAGGCACTGGTTTGACGCATCACAGTAGACCACAAAGTCTTATGTTCCTTCTGGCAAAGATAACATAGGTGCGCTGCATAGAGCTCACTCCCCGTAGTTGGTCAAACAGATCGTCTATGTGTGGTAAGGGATATCGGTGCTCCCCAAGGTGAGAAACTCGGTCTGATGAATCCTTTGCTTAGAAGATCCATGTTCAGTTGGTCAAACAGATCGTCTATGTTCAGTTCCCGGTAATCGATGCACATGCGAAAAGATCCATTCTTCTTCTTTACGAACAGAACCGGTGCTCCCCAAGGTGAGAAACTCGGTCTGATGAATCCTTTGCTTAGAAGTTCGTTCAGCTGGATGGATAATTCCTGCATCTCTGCTGGTGCTAGACGGTACGACGATTTTGCTACGGGGGTAGCCCCGGGAATCAAGCCGATTCTGAACTCGACTTGACGTTCTAGTGGAACTCCTGGAAGATCTTCGGGGAAGATGTCGGGGAAGTTGCAGACCTCTGGAATGTCTTTAATGTCTTTCATTAAAAGGAAGTGAAACAGGTGCACATTAAGTAACGTTTGTCATATCTCGAACCTTGTTCAAAGCTATACACACTCCATATAAGTTAGTTTTTTGAAGACTAATCATCAACCCTGACACTAGAAAATAGAAGCATCTTAATACTCGAACAATGTTACTAATATTATCTTCATCACCGACATAGAAAAAATAAGACAAACCAATACCATCATTTGCAACTGTTGGAACCACATCCTTACCACCGTGACATGTAACCATTCCATAACCATAATAAACATGAGAAAAAGACAAAAGATCACATTGTCTAAGACCTCTTTTCATCTGAAACTTTAAAATTGTGGTTTTATTAATCATCATATATAGAAGCTTTGTCCGAATGCAAACAATTCATAATCCAAAAGATCCATATTTTATCGAAACCCATAAACTCCATCATTTGTTTCAAATAATTTCAACTTAAGGATTCATAAGTCTTGGGAATGGGGCCAACACTTAATTTTGGCATGATGTATGGATCGACGATCAAAAACTCAACTCTCGGTTTCCTCGTCTTTTTTGTTTAGAGAAAGCGAAAAATTTGCTTTATTCGGGATACAATCTTTAATAATGAGTGGAGTTGGAGTTGGCGGAGGAGGTGAGGAAGCCTCTCAACTTGAGGAGTCGATGAATGTTATCTCGTTAGTTCATTTGATAGATAAAGAAGATAGTTGGTCGTGGAGTATGGGAAGTAATGGTATTTATACTGTAGCAGAGACGAGAAGATGGATTGATAAAAAGATTTTGTCGAGTGGGTCCATTATGACTAGATAGAATGATATTGTCCCTCAGAAAGTGAATATTTTAGTGTGGAGAATTAGATTGGATAGATTACCTAAGAGAAAAAACCTTGATCAGCGAGGTATTGATATTCCAAATATCTTATGTCCTCTTTTTAATTTGGAAGAAGAGCAGTTGGATCGCTTGTTCGTAAGGTGTGAGGTAGCTGTCGGAACTTGGAATGCAATTTTCAAATGGTTAGAAATTCATCTCAATCATTTTGATTATGTTAACGAGTTATTTGATCAAGTGGAAGCGTTCAGAGGTAGTGTCATTAAAAGAAAGGTTATAGATGCGGTGGTCAACACTACTCTTTGGTATCTTTGGAAGTTTTGTAATGATGTGGGTTTTGAGAGTGGTAAGATAAGGAGATATATTATTTTTGACTCAATTAGAGAAGTTTCTTTTCTTTGGATTAGTAATAGATATAATTTTTTTTTTGTTAATTGGAATTATTGGCGGCAATTCCCTCTTAACAACTTGTAATCTTTTTTTGTATTTCTCTAATGTTTTGCTATTTCTCTAATGTTTTGCTAGAGTTTTTCCTTGTAATATATGTGACTCACTGTTTCTATAAAAAAAAGATTCATAAGTCTTCTTGAAGTCAACCTTAAAAACCATCAATTATTTTTTTCTTTTTTCTTGTACCAATTTATGACCTTATTAACCATCAACGAGACAACGAATTGTTTCAATGCCGTAGTCAATACCAATAATCTTAAGCTGTTTGTTCGATGAATTTTTTACAATAATTTTATATTGGATACCAATAGAAGTTAACTTATTTATGGTTTACTAATGGTTTTAATTATATATTATCCTAAATATCTTTTTAAGATATTCCATTAAAAACAATTGATGACTGCCATTTAGATTTTTATAAAATAATCGTATGCCATTTATATTTAAATGTAATTATAACATTACCTTATTTGTCTGTGACAAAATATACGAAACAAGGAATTTACATGTAAATGTTAGTCAATTTTTCTTTATTCTAAGGTTAATATGATTACGAAAATATCTAATGTCTTCTTACAAATATATAATTAATATATATAATTTATTTATTTAAAATAAAAATCAACTTATGGTAACTAAATTATTAGTATTTGATATCCTGTATTTAATTATAACTTATATAAAAATTTATATTATAAAGTTAATAAATGATTTATCCAAATAAGAAGACAACGGTCACGATGATAAGTTTGGGCAGCGATGCTACACCCTCGAAGTAGGTAATATTTTACTCCACAAAACCCTAATTCGTTTGTTCTTAAACTCCTTAAAACCCTAACCAACACAATCCATTGATCCCTCTTCCTCTATTCCCAAAACTATCCCTCTCATACACAACCTCTCTCTGAAGAGAGCAAGAAGTACTGTGCTCCAGGTCAAGCCAATTTAGGTTTTCTATAATGGTGGCTGACAAGGGTAAGAAGCCGAAGATCGGAGAGAAAATAGCGGAGGAGGGCGCTGAGGAAATCGACCTTGAGCTTGTTAAATCCATTGAAAAGTTGCAGGAGGTCCAAGATGAGCTCGAAAAGGTACACTTTTACAACGAACATCGATTTGATTTGCCCAATTCAGTACGTATGTAATAGATTTGCTATTCCACATCAGTTTGCTGTGATTAATTACGGAAGCTTCGTTATAGTTGTTGTTCGTAACACTTTTATGAACCGTTGGTTTACTATTTTACCGCCAAACTTGAATTTGATGCTTATTTTGTGCTTTGTTTGCGTATTCTATTCGGATATGCTACTTGATTGAGAAAATCTGGTTGCGACAATACATAACCAGATATGCAATGCCCGATTTTTGGCATGATATCCGATGAATCTTGTTACATTGCAAAAGACATATAATTCGTGTATATTATTTTGGCTCTAGATCAATGAGGAAGCAAGTGATAAAGTTTTGGAAGTCGAACAAAAATACAACGAAGTTAGGAAGCCAGTGTATGGTAAACGGAATGACATTATTAAAGCAATTCCCGATTTTTGGCTAACTGCTGTGAGTGATGAATTCTAATCACTTTTTACTTTAATCCTATTCTTCTCCTCCTTCGTTCAAATTTAATGTATACTTGCTTACACAGTTCTTGAGTCACCCTGCTCTCTCTGATCTCCTGAACGAAGAAGACCAAAAGGTTTGTTTTTCCTTTACACAAACAAAGGTTTCTAGTTAATTCATATGTTAACATGCATCGTTTTTTTAGATATTCAAGCATCTAACCTCTCTTGAAGTCGAAGATAACAAAGATGTGAAGTCAGGCTACTCAATCACATTTGTAAGTAACTCTTTCCTTTTGAAAAGGAAAATACATTGTAAATTATGTTGATTGAGTTTATGTTTATAGCTAAAAGTTATATGATTTTACACTTGTTACAGAACTTCAGTGCTAACCCTTACTTTGAGGATACAAAGCTCACAAAAACTATCACCTTCCTTGATGAAGGAACAACAAAAATTACTGCTACACCAATCAAGTGGAAAGAGGGCATGGTAACATTTATTTATTTTACTTTTATATTTATCAATATGTGTTTCTGTAGGATTCTAATATTGTGTCATTATTTACTTTTTTGAAGGGACTTTCAAATGGAGTTACACATGAGAAGAATGGAAATAAGCGGCCCCACGAGGAAGACAGGTCATCAAAACTTTCTTTTTGTATTAATTAAAAAAATAGAAACACTCGGATATAAATATATAGCTTACCAGATTAAGTCTTGTTTTTCGTTAAGTAAACAAGAAACATAAACTAAAAGGTCTGTATTTTGTTTCTTGATTGATTTGATGCAGCAGCTTCTTTAGTTGGTTCAGTGGGACCCAACGTGAAGATGACATGGATGAAATTCAAGATGGAGTATGTTCACATTAATTAATCATAAATAAAAATTAAATAAACCTCTTCTTATTGTTGCTTGAATAAAACCTTTCTTAATGTGTTTGTATTTGTAGGTTGCGGAAATGATTAAAGAAGATTTATGGGTTAACCCTCTTACATATTTCAACAATGTAAATCTTTTCTTTTTCTTTTTTAAAATATGAGAATAATCCTTCATTATGGTGTACTGATTTTGTTTTTGAAAATTCTTTTTTTTTTAAAGGATGCTGATGAAGAGGACTTTGGTGATGAGGATGATGAAGAGGTAAACAATTATAACAACCCTTTTGTTTTATTTTATTTGGCTGACATTATTTAATATAATATAATTTGGTTTTGTTGTTTTATCAGGACATTGGCACAGATGACTCTGAAGAAGATGAAGAGTGAATGATTGAAAGTTTTTGAAGGGAGTGAGTGGGTAGATTTATAGTTAATTTTGTGGTTTGTGGTTTTTAAAAAAAATGTAGGCGGTTGGTATACAGGTTATGCAATTTCTTTATTTAAACAAACCAAGAAATGGAATTTCCTGAATATGAATCTTGTTTCTTTATATTTCTATTTAATGAAAAAAAAAAACTTGTTGCATAAAAATACAAAAAAATAATATTTTATAAAGTTAGTTACCAGTCCCAAGTTTGGGTGTTTAAGAGGATATGCACGATCGGACAAAAGTAATGCTCAAAATTCCTATATTTCGAATTGATCCAAAAGTCGACCAATAGTTGTGATATTTTTTTATTACAACTCTATTTATAAATGGGTTTAATGACGAAAAAATAATAAAATTTTGTAGAAAGTTTTCAAAATATTACTGTATAAATGTTGGTCATTTCTCAAATAATAACCTCACACAAGATCGATTTAGATCCTTAAGGGGCTGTATTCAAAATCTAATAAGACCGATCATGGTGGGACTTTCCTAAACCCTTAATTGGGCCATCTATAACTAATTTTTCATCCAATTATGGATAAGACTACTTTTGAAACTATAAATGGGCCTTGTAAGTTGTAAATATAATAGTATAAATGGGCCAACAAGCAGCCCAACAGCATCCCAATTGAAATTTTGCTTCATTAGTTTGGTTTTACAAAAACCCCAACCAATTAATCCGAATGTTTATATGAGTAATATGATTTTATGCCTCAAGTCCAAATGGGGAAATTGACTAACCTCTCGGGTTAAGATTAGGAAAATGACTAGATCACCTTATCCATAATGAGACCAGTCATAATATGCCACATAAGCATGTTAGATATCAATTTTACACTATGAATCTTGTTTCTTTATATTTCTATTTAATGAAAAAAAAAAACTTGTTGCATAAAAATACAAAAAAATAATATTTTATAAAGTTAGTTACCAGTCCCAAGTTTGGGTGTTTAAGAGGATATGCACGATCGGACAAAAGTAATGCTCAAAATTCCTATATTTCGAATTGATCCAAAAGTCGACCAATAGTTGTGATATTTTTTTATTACAACTCTATTTATAAATGGGTTTAATGACGAAAAAATAATAAAATTTTGTAGAAAGTTTTCAAAATATTACTGTATAAATGTTGGTCATTTCTCAAATAATAACCTCACACAAGATCGATTTAGATCCTTAAGGGGCTGTATTCAAAATCTAATAAGACCGATCATGGTGGGACTTTCCTAAACCCTTAATTGGGCCATCTATAACTAATTTTTCATCCAATTATGGATAAGACTACTTTTGAAACTATAAATGGGCCTTGTAAGTTGTAAATATAATAGTATAAATGGGCCAACAAGCAGCCCAACAGCATCCCAATTGAAATTTTGCTTCATTAGTTTGGTTTTACAAAAACCCCAACCAATTAATCCGAATGTTTATATGAGTAATATGATTTTATGCCTCAAGTCCAAATGGGGAAATTGACTAACCTCTCGGGTTAAGATTAGGAAAATGACTAGATCACCTTATCCATAATGAGACCAGTCATAATATGCCACATAAGCATGTTAGATATCAATTTTACACTATGAATCTTGTTTCTTTATATTTCTATTTAATGAAAAAAAAAAACTTGTTGCATAAAAATACAAAAAAATAATATTTTATAAAGTTAGTTACCAGTCCCAAGTTTGGGTGTTTAAGAGGATATGCACGATCGGACAAAAGTAATGCTCAAAATTCCTATATTTCGAATTGATCCAAAAGTCGACCAATAGTTGTGATATTTTTTTATTACAACTCTATTTATAAATGGGTTTAATGACGAAAAAATAATAAAATTTTGTAGAAAGTTTTCAAAATATTACTGTATAAATGTTGGTCATTTCTCAAATAATAACCTCACACAAGATCGATTTAGATCCTTAAGGGGCTGTATTCAAAATCTAATAAGACCGATCATGGTGGGACTTTCCTAAACCCTTAATTGGGCCATCTATAACTAATTTTTCATCCAATTATGGATAAGACTACTTTTGAAACTATAAATGGGCCTTGTAAGTTGTAAATATAATAGTATAAATGGGCCAACAAGCAGCCCAACAGCATCCCAATTGAAATTTTGCTTCATTAGTTTGGTTTTACAAAAACCCCAACCAATTAATCCGAATGTTTATATGAGTAATATGATTTTATGCCTCAAGTCCAAATGGGGAAATTGACTAACCTCTCGGGTTAAGATTAGGAAAATGACTAGATCACCTTATCCATAATGAGACCAGTCATAATATGCCACATAAGCATGTTAGATATCAATTTTACACTATTTCTGATATCATCCCTCACTTTTTTTTTCATTATTAAAAATAGCGCCGACATCCTTTTTAGTTTCCCAAAAAAAACAAAACGATACAGAACACGAACATTTGCATAATTAACGCGAACACCCTTTTCACACAATAACGTTGAATTTTAGATCGAATTTTATCAAGAAAATCATTTTTTTTATTAAAATAAGCCATTAATGTCTTTGTAGGTATGAAGCTAAGGTTAAGTCTTAAAATTGATGATCACTAAATGATTATCTTACATTAAAAAAGGTATGGTATGTATTTTAAATGATTTTAGCCTAAATATGATTTTACGTGGGATTATGAGTTTTTTTTCTCTCAAATAAAAATTTTACAATCAGGGCCAAGAGTAGGACAACATGGATGATGACACAGCTTAATCTTAATTTTGTAACATTTTCGGATTTTTATGATAGTCGCCAATTAAAAAGAGCCATTTACTCCATTTTTGTTATAGTTATTGCAGTTGCTGAAGCTGCTATTGGACTCGCTATTGTTTCATCAATTTATCGTAACAGAAAATCAACTCGTATAAATCAATCGAATTTGTTAAATAAGTAATATTATCATATAAATTAGAATTTTCATAAATTAATAATTAATTCAAATTAGCATGTCTGCCACGTAAGGTATCCTCATGTTATCACAAACATACGAAATCAAAGTATTTTGGTGCTGTCAATCCAGAAGTAGATTTAATAAAAAACATTCAAGGAACTCATCGATTCATCTAGTATTTAAATATATAATTCATTTATCAATTTATTAGATTGAAACCTTCTCACGTTCAAAAATGGATAGATCCAATGTCATATTCAGTAAAGATTTATGATACATGTATCGGGAGTGGCCTCCAAATTTTTGGGATCCATTTTTATGTATATACTTATATTATTTTAGAAATAAAAAAACTTTTGGTATTAAGTCATCGTAGGGAAAGGAAAAAAATGGTCTTCTTTTTTTATTTTGTCCGGGACCTCAAATCGGCTTGAGTCGGCCATGTTTACAACACTTGATATTGGTGAAGCAAAACCATTTAAGTCACCGATAAAATACAATATATCAAAATAAATGAAACTAAGAGTTAAAAAGATAAATAAAAAAAAAACAAAAAAACAAATGCAATTTGCAATAAGCCAATAACTAGAACTTGGTCATAACTGAGTAGCATGTGGGATCACCTCATTGGTGATTTAAGTTTTTTAAAATAAACTTATTTAGTTATTAATTGTAGTATATAATCATTAAAACTTAAAAAAATACGAAAAATTTATTGTGTTTTCTCTACAAATAATATCAAAAAAATTTTGAACTATGTTTGAGATTAAATCCAATACCTAATTGTTAGAAACACGAATCACGATGTTAGCCAAGTAGTGAGATTGAATCAAAGACCTAATTGTTAGAAACATCGAATCACGATGTTAGCCAAGTAGGCTAACTTCAACTTGTCAAATAGTATCGACATTGATATATCCTTGTTACTTTTTATTATTTTGTACTTATAAAATATTGGAGTGGATTAACAAAATTGATAAAAAATGATTTGGTGGGATATGTATAAAATAACTCGTTGTAAAATATGCCTAAAACACTTGTTTTGAGATAGAAAAGCTTTGGATGCTATCATACTGCAATATAATATATTTTAAAAATAAAAAATTGATAAGTTGATGTTGATACACGAATCTGAAGACAACGGACACAATATCACTGTGAAAAATAAAATAATGATACAAAATAATTATTTTTCCAAATAATTAAGATTGTGTAATTGATGTTAGATTGATTATAGACTTGATAGATGATATGCTATTCAAGTCGTGTGTTGTGCGTAGGCCGCTGGGTTCTAGACTAATCATTGGCAATAGATTAACTAGATGCTCATGCATGGGCCTAAAGTTAATAAGACAAGTTCGTGTATTTTTCCTAAACTGTGACACATGGTTAAGTATGATATTTTTTAGTTATATGTTATGCAAAACATGTGTTATGGTTTATCATGAAAGTGATATTGCATGAGAAACATATGTAGTTTTTACATTTTACATTTTAAAAACACAAGATATTGTTTTATGGCATGAATATATATTATCTATGTTTATGTAGATGTATAAATGCATATAATATGGTCAAAAACTATGTGTAATACTACACTAGTAATGTAAAGATACACATTTGTACTTGGTGTCCATAAGGTAATAAAACACTATATATATATATATATATATATATATATATATATATATATATATATATATATATATATATATTTGGGTAAGTGTATCTTGTTGTGGATAACATTAGGTGTTGATATAATGATATGCATCTTACATTTTTACTCCTAACTATTGCATCAATTTTATTTTCATCTTTATTTTTACCATGTGATAATGTTATTCAGTGATTTCACGATGTAACATACTCCAAACTCGTACACCACTCTGTTGAATCACAAATATAACAAGTAGTACACAAAACTTGTTCATCAAAATGTAAAAAAGGAAGAAAAAAGAGTGATCGAAAGAATTTGTGAAGTTGAAGTCGTATATGGAGTGTTTTATTTCTTAATTTGCATAGTTGAAGAAGCAAAACCTTCACTATTATATTTGCCAAGAAACAACATGTTTCTAGGAGTCCTAATGTATATAAAATTAAAGTGTCCAGGGCACTACAATTATAATTTGTTACTATTAATGCCCATCATGCAAAATATGATTATGGAAAGTGAAGACATTTTATATCTTGGTCAATTTGCAAGCGGATATGATCGAAGAATTTGGAGAGAAAAA